TACAAGGGATGGCCTCCATCCTAATAGCGATGGCCTCCAACCTAGAAGCAATGTCCTCCATCCTACTAGCGATGGCCTCCAACCTAGAAGGGGTGGCCTCCATCCTAATAGCAATGGCCTCCAAACTAGAAGGGATGGCCTCCATCGCCAATAGCGATGGCCTCCAACCTAGAAGGGATGGCCTCCATACTAATAGCGAGGGCCTCCAACCTACAAGCGATGGCATCCAGCTTAATAGCAATGGCCTGCAACCTAGGAGCGATGGCCTCTATCATATCTAAATAGCGATGGCCTCCAAGCTAGAAGCGATGGCTTCCATCCTAATAGCGATTGCCTCCAACCTAGAAGCGATGGCCTCCATCCTAATGGTGATGGCCTCCAACCTAGCTCCTTCCTAATAGCGATGGCCTCCAACCTACTAGCGATGGCCTCCATCCTAATAGCGATCCTCCAACATAGAAGCAATCTGAAATGTAGCTTGAGAGGACCAACGGCACAAGTTACCCCAACTCATGAAATTTGGGACCCCCATCTTTTCAGGACATCTGGGGGTCTGTGCCATCTACTCTGAAACCACTGTCAGTCTCAGACTGGTGTCTTTCCATGTAACTCAGTCAACAACCTGCAGTAGATTTCTCTTGGAACAACCGGTTCCACAATGTTCCACTGCTGAGCTTGTTACTATAATATGCTTAAGTCCGAATCTTTTGTTGGGGCACTCATTATCTCAATCCAGCAGCCGGTGATGATGTAGCAACATAGTAAGACATAGCTAATGCCCCGCCCCGCGCCACCCTAAGCAATGTTACTCTGCTCCTGACCTTGCCTCGAAGGCTCATCAATGATGAAACAAGAGTAGATGAAACAAAGGCAAACCACAGGTGCAATCACTGCAATCCCCTACTTTTGTATCAAAGGGATGGTGGTCAGAGTCAGGATGCCATAGTTACTGTATGCCTTTCAGTACGAGGAACCCTGTTGTGATACTCGAAGTGAGGCCCGACTGTGGACCATACGTGCTCGTGAGCATTTCAATGTTAACTTCGGCAAAAGTGATGCACGATGCCCCAGGCTTCACACCGCCTTCCCAGGCTTCACACCGACAAAAAGCCAGGAACATGACGGTGGGTCAAAACCTCTCCCACATCGAAGGTTGACGTCTTTGGTGATCGCTTCTGTTCATTTAGGTCCACCAAGTTCAAGGTCCCCCATGTTTGACCCCTCTCCTTCCACAGTTCCCCCTCCCACCTGCAAGGGTGGCAACCCTCGCTCACTGGGGCTCGTGGGGGTCTTCACCTGCAGAAAATAGGAGTGCTTTACCAATGAAATTACATGGATACACCCGGGAAGATTAACATGGAACCTGAACCTGGACCTTTGGAAGACTGTGTTCATTTCCAACCCAGTGGTTTTCAGGTTCCAGTTTGCAAGAGTGTATCTCCATCAAACTCAGGGATTCCGTGGCCAATCACTGCATATGTGGTCTCTCTGGATGGGCGTCAACGACATCATGCTTCATGTCTATTACTGTCATTGGCTGCAGAAATTCCCCACCGCTTGAGAATGTGCACTGCCATTGCGCTACCATAGCGACTGGGTCAAGTCTCCCCGGCCTGCGGTCGGCTCTTGCTTGGTGCCGGGGACTCTTGTGGAATGCCCAGGGCTTGCCTGAGCCCCAAAGGCACACGGCAAGGGACAGAAAAGCAGCACAGTCCTGCAGTAGGTTGAACATTCTCCAAAGAATCTAGAACCCATAATTATGCCATATGCCGCATATGCCCTGCAAGGGCTAGGACCGCCAGCTTAGGAAGATCCAAGTGCCAAGAGTGCAAAACTACCTGCCACGGCCTCCTGTTCGCTGTGGCAGGGGTAGTTGGAGCCGACCAAACGAGGCAGTCATGGAAAGTCCACCTTGACATGGTAACAATAATGATAGACTCTTGATTAATAAACCCTCCCAGTATCTCCCAGTGACTTGAAAAACCTCGTTATATACATGGGGGGTCATCAAGAGCCTACATTATTGTTACCAAGCCCTGGTGACACCATGACATACCACAAACTGCATGGTGCCACATGGCAGCCTGCCCTGTGGCCGAGGCAGGGCACCGCCATCTGGCTTTCCGCCCAAGTCCAAGAAGGGCTTGGTGTGCTAACACTGGCCATGTCCCGTCCCTCAAGAATTGGGCCCTGTTCAAAGGTCGGGCGGCCAACACTTGCTCCACCTGGCAGCAAGTGAAATGGAGGCGTGATTCGATCTGATTCGTCTTAGTTTTGCTATGCTGCTCGGCTGTTGCGAAGATGCAGCAAGAAGGGGTGCCCTTTGCTACGGACCAGTGGGTGGTGAAGCGCAACCGCTGAACTACCTACTTTGAAATGCATCATTTGGACAGAACGGCCAACTCATCCGACCCCAAGGTCATCCCTTGAAGGCGTCGGAGGCTGTCGATGAGTCCACTGCTGCTGGAAACTCTTGTGATGGTCTCATTTTAGGACCTCCTGTCCAGAATGGCTAACCCTTGGGCAACGTTCAACAAAGGTCAAAAATGGAACCATGTCCCAGTGTTGAGCCCAGTGGGTGAACTAGACTGATTCTCCCCTTAGGATCAAAGTCTTATGCAGCGCTCCGGCATAGCCTGTGCCATGTTTTTGCAATCAAGTTGTGCACGTGCTTCACGAGGGCTGGCAGGCACTGACCAATGAAAGCCTTGTGGTCAACATCAAAAACCATACAAACGGCTCATAAGCCCATGAGCAAAGCAAATGTATCAATGGCTGTGCAGCGCGCACGAGCACGAAGGCTCGTGTAAGCCCTATAAGCATCTGGAGCATTCTGGTGCAATAGTCCTCCCCAAACCATCCATCTAGATCCATGTATCGAATAGTCACATGCATGTATATACCCCATTTGTGACTTTACAAGCCTAATGTAGTGCATGGATGGTCTGGGCTCTGGGAAATACATCCCTGCTTGTGGGTTCTGTGCAAAAGCCTACCATGGAACTTCTTTATTGCTAGCCGCTAGCCACGCTGCGGAGATCTGTGGAGAAATTGCATGTTGCATCTTGAGTTGTCGGGCTCCAAAAAGTGGTGTTTGATGGTGTTTGGCATTTCGTTGCCCAGGATTGAGTTATCAGCCAGTAGAGAAGTGCGTACACCGGCACTGCAACAACCTCACTCAGCTTCATCTAACATCCCTGCAAATTATACAATATAGTAGAACCAAATCATCACCACCGAATCATAATTGCTGGCCTTCAAAAGCAAATGAGACACCTCAAAAAGGTGGATTTGCTCCTTTGAAATCCATCTACTCTATCTACTTCTGGGAAAAGTTCCTTTCAACAAAATTGATCAACATTGAGCAATTTCCTTGAGTCAGTGCTTTGCGCTAGATATCGGCAATCAACAACTCCCGCCACGTCCCAAATGCAGATCAGTTGCAAGAGAAGTCCTGGGCACTGAGCAAAAGAGTCAAAGGGACACCCCAGTCAGTGCAGCAACACAAACAACCAGGACCCAAATAGCCCAACAGCAGCAAAAAGATCAAAAAGGAAGGAATTCCTAGATTTCTCACACCAATCTGAAGGCCTGAAGGCCCTGTGGTCGAGCATTGTGAGGTCAACAACCACATTTCCCAACACCATATGAAGCAAACCTGAACAGTTATGCTTTCCACTTCTGGGCCGAACCGGCCACACCAGTCACCTGCCAAGCACCTGCATGCACCTGCCAACACCCACATTTCCGCACCGCTTGGCGCACCAGTTGGCGCGCTGCGGCCGGCGCGCAGCGGCTTGGCGGCGTCCAAGCGTCCCATGATGGAAAGGTCGCCCTTAGCGGAGGCCAACGCCACTGGATGATCTCGCAACTCCCGAAGCCGATCCTGAGAGGCATTCGGATGCTACGAACGGAGCTCATTCGATGCGACAGGGGCGACTCAGGCTTTGTGACCCATGTCTTCCACCATGTTCCAGTCACATGTTTCCTCTCCCCGCATAAGTTAGCCCTGGAGGGTGGGTCCCCCCCCACTTTTCCGGAAGTGAGGCCTGTTTCAAACAAATGTGGCAAACTCTAAAAAATAGCCGTATTCTTGGGGCCCATGCACCTGCTGCACCAACAAAAATAGAAGTTTGTTCCTTGATTGTTTTGGTCGAAACAGGTCCCGCTGAGAATATACGGGTGACCTATGGTGACCGACTGTGGACCTTGACACGCTCATGGGGTAGATAGTGCAACCTAATACAGTGAGTTCAGCGGAAATCCCATGAACCCAATGGACGCAAAGGGCGGGCCGGGGGGGGTTCACTGGGAACTGCACTTGTCTTTACCTGGTCATCATTGTTTTTTTGCGACATGATGGTATGTTCGACAGGGGTGGGGCTGGGTGGAGGGTAATGAACTCAGGATAACTTAGGTGTCGATGTTGCCAGGTAAGATGGACCCTGTTTTCGTTTCGATGCACTTTGCTTTTGACTTCGTTGTTTCGGCTCTTAGTGTCGCTTCAGGGTCGCTTGGGCACTGTGTCCGACCACGTGATAACCGAGGTGCCATCAGTCACCAGCGCGCACGAAGTCTCCAGAATACAACATGCGATTATCACCACGGTCGTCGACGAACTATCCATTGCGTTGATGTACTTGCGCTCGGCCTCCTATCTATTAATCTATACAACGCATTGCATATATAATAATAATGGTTATATATAATCTGTCTGGTTTCTTTCTGGTATACGGTATACTCTTGATATGATATCTCCGTGGTGGCCTCTACGATAAGGTTCCCTTCTCTGTCCTCTGACATTTTTTACAAAAGAGCACGAGGCAAGTTAAGGATAGTTTTGTTTTCTCCGAATGACTCGAGGAACCTGTGTTATTAACCCTCGCATTGTTTTGGCGTTGTGGTCGCGAAAAAGAGACCGCACCCACGACTCACCCAGGCAACAGTTTTGCCCTTGTGAGAATCATCTTTGTCATTTTCTTCATAGCGAAACCTATGGTTTTGAGCACATTCCAAAGTTGTGCTAAAACATTTCAAAGATGTCCACAACAGAAATTCAAGCAGGTAGCACCCATCCAACACATAATTAATCCTAAACCTCATCGTCGGGAAGCTTGGCAAGCACTCAACATGCGCGGACATAACAAAAATGTGTTCGGGCAAGTTGACAGCTGAGACCACAATACATATATCAGTGCCTTCAACCTTCTCCCCATTGGCCCTGCGAAAACACAGTCTGCTATGATCCAACTGCCGATGCATCCCTCCGCAAAACCTCCAGTCCTGACCGCCCATGGATCATCATGGATCCATGGTCATATTCCACATTCGCTTTCCGGGGTGTTGATATAGTTACATATATATATATAGTTAGTTATTTATGTATATGCGAATCCCCTAGTAATGAGAAAGACTTGAGGCCAAGGGGGGGTGCGAAAGCTAGCGCTCCAGAATGGGAAAGTGGACGGCAGCGAGGTAGGAAAAAACACGGCGCTCTTTTTGGAGGCAGGGGTGAAGAGTCCTTTATATGTGGCTCTTTGCCCGGATCCTCCTGCGAGAGAAGAAAGAGAAGAGAGACGGAAAGACGAGAGACAGAGAGGAGAGAGAGAGAGAGAGAGAGAGCGGAGAGAGAGATGAGAGAGATGAGAAAGAGATGAGAGAGATGAGAGAGAGAGAGAGACAGTGAGACAGTGAGAGTGAGCGAGTGCGGCCGCAAGATACGCAACGCTAACCGCATGCCAAAGAGCGACGACAGGACGGAGTCGAACTTGCGAAGAGGGAGGAGGGAGGGAGGGAAGGTGGGAGGAAAACAAGGAGGAGGAGAAAGAGGTGGGGAGAGGGGAGGAGGAGGGGGGGGGGGGGCTTCGACCTGAAAAATCAGGGGTTAGGATTTGCACCCGGTCGAAAGAAACCTTGCTATCGCAAGAGTAACTCCAGCTAGCTTCGCTAGCTTTCGTGAAAAACATTGGGTCATCTGCAGCTCAGTGCGAGCAATGGGTTGTTTCTCAGTAGGCCATATATATATATAGTAGGCCAAGGAATCAGGAGCTGATGGTATGCTGGACATTGTTCAGCTTCGAACTAGGGAACGCAACCACGTCAGTCTGAATGATTAAGCTTCTTGTCACCAGTCCTACAGTGCTGCACCGGCAACCAGTGCTACTTGGACGATGATGCTGCAGTCAGTAGTAACTAGGAGAACGTGAAACCACTCAGTAGCCAAACTCCTCGCTCGCTACAATTCACAAAACATGCATTTACCATTAATTGTTATGCGTTGCATTCCTTGAAGCCCGTATAGTGCGGTCTTCCGTTGTAACCAAGCACCAAGTCTTGATCAACACTCTCGGAAGCCCAACCACAATAAGGTGCTGCTGGTGCTGCTGCAGTAAACCAAAATGCCCGCGTGCGCATGGGTGTGTGTGTGTGTCCCACCCTGGACAAAGGGTCTCACCCCACCACTTTCAC